TTAGGAGGAGGAGGAGAGGAGGTTAGGAGGAGGAGGAGGAGGAAGGAGGAGGTTAGGAGGAGGAGGTTAGGAGGAGGAGGGAGGTTAGAGGAGGAGGAGGAGGAGGAGGAGGAGGAGAGGAGGAGGAGGAGGAGGAGGAGGAGGAGGGGAAAGGAGGAGGAGGTTAGGAGGAGGAGGAGGAGGAGGAGGAGGAGGAGGAGAGGAGGAGGTTTTAGGAGGAGGAGAGGAGGAGAGAGGAGGAGGAAGGAGGAAGAGGAGGAGAAGAGAGAGGAAGGAGGAAGAGAGGAAGGAGGAGGGTTAAGCAGGAGGAAGGGAGGAGGAGGGCAGAGGAGAGAGGAGGAGGAGGAGGAGGAGGAGGAGGAGGAGGAGGAGGAGGAGGAAGAGGAGGAAGAGGAGGAGGAGGAGGTTAGGAGGAGGAGGAGGTTAGGAGAGGAGGGAGGAGGAGGAGGAGGAGGAGGAGGAGGTTAGGAGAGAGGAGGAGGAGGAGGAGGAGGAGGAGGAGGAGGAGGAGGAGGGAGGAGGAGGAGGAGGAGGAGGAGGAGGAGGAGGAGGAGGAGGAGGAGGAGGAGGAAGAGGAGGAAGAGGGAAGAGGAGGAGGCAGAAAAAGGAGGAGGTGGAGGAGGAGAGAAGGAGGAGGAAGGAGAGAGAAGGAGGAGAGGAGAAGAAGAAGAAAGAAAGGAGGAGGAGGAGGATGGCCTGATGTTAGACTAACCCAAAGGATCCATATATTTTCATAAGGAGTCGAATCCAAGTTTCATCAACATGGATTCGTAAGTCTTCATGAGTCTGATATTTAACATCGATAAGCAAATGTGGCTCTGCTGCACCGAAGAGTTTTTATCTTCGTAAAGATAGTCATTTTTTTTATCTGACGTCGTCCCCTAGTTAGCTGTTTATATACACACATGTACACACACACACACACACACACACACACACACACACACACACACACACACACACACACACACACACACACACACACACACACACACACGCACGCACGCACGCACGCACGCACGCACTTACACACACGTACATGCATACACACACACACACACACGCACACACATAAACAAAAACACACACACACACAAACACACACACACACAAACACCAAACACACACGCACACAAACAGACACACACACACATAATCATAAACAAAACACAAACAAACACACACGCACACAAACAGACACACACACACACACACACACACACACACACACACACACACACACACACACACACACACACACACACACACACACACACACACACACACACACACACAAACAAACACACACAAAGCTACCCCACAGCAACTCACTGATATGCAAACTGAAGTAAAATCGAGGCAGATTATCCGAGTCTGCTTCAGGGATGAACGTGACGGTGTAGTTGTTGCCTCCTGACACGCCCGTCACACTCACGCTGTTGTTCTGTGGGCGTAGGGCGGGGTTAGGATTCGAGAGGGGGGGGGGAGGAGCACAGGGCGAGGCTGGGTTAGTTTTATTTCTCTCGCTTTTCTCTCTTTTTCTCTCTGTCTGTCTGTCTCTCTTTGTGTGTGTGTGTGTTGTGTGTGTGTGTGTGTGTATGTTTTGTGTGTGTTGTGTGTCGTGTGTGTGTGTGTGTGTGTGTGTGTGTGTGTGTGTGTGTGTGTGTGTGTGTGTGTGTGTGTGTGTGTGTGTGCTGTGTGTGTGTGTGTGTGTGTGTGTGTGTGTGTGTGTGTGTGTGTGTTGTGTGTGTGTGTGTGTGTGTGTGTGCTGTGTGTGTGTGTGTGTGTGTGTTGTGTGTGTGTGTGTGTGTGTGTGTGTGTGTGTGTGTGTGTGTGTGTGTGTGTGTGTGTGTGTGTGTGTGTGTGTGTGTGTGTGTGCTTGTGTGTGTGTGTGTGCTTGTGTCTGAGTGTGTGCTTGTGTCTGAGTGTGTGCTTGTGTCTGTGTATGTGTTTGTGTCTGTCTTTATCTGTACATATACATGCACATGGAAATGGGAAAGGAAAAATATTTGAAATATTCATCTTCACATGGTAGTAGTAGTAAGTATATATCTGTACTAAACAGTATATATCTTCGAACTAAAAGCCCCCTTACCTTATTCGAAAGCGTCTTCTGATCCACCAGATTGCCCTCGGGGTCAGTGATCTCCAGCGAGGACGTGGGCGTGACCCAGCCCGCCTTTTCCGTGGTCCAGGTCAGCTGCACGACGCCCTCGCCCACCACCTCCGCCTTCAGTCCGTAGGGTCTTCGGAACACCACTGACGAGAGAGAGGGTGGGAGAAGGGGTGAGATGGGGGGTTGAGAGGGGGGGGTGAGATGGGGAGAGGGTATGAGAGGGGGAGAAAAGGGTGAGAGGGGAGAAAAGGGTGAGAGGGGAGAAAAGGGTGAGAGGGGAGAGAGAGGGTGAGAGGGGAGAGAGAGGGTTAGGTCACTTTACTTTTTTCGTATATGCGAGTGTGGGAATTTTTGGGGGGGGGGGGTTAGGTATGTTGCATTGCG